TAATGCGGAGGTGATGGAAGGTGATTATTTAAAGTCATTGATGGGATTACTGTTTTTTGCAACTGGGATTAGTTTAAGGATTAATGGATGGGTTGCAGCACGACGTTGACGAACGAAAGTAGACATGGAATTAATTCTGAGAGACGAATTAGAGGTCGCTTGGTACAGCTCTTCTCTCGCTAATTAATTGTTTCGGTTTTGACCTTATTAGGTCGAGGTTGCGAGCTAATTCTTCGACGTAAGAAGATCATTTCGGGCAAAGGAAATCTCTAGCCCTCGATAGGGTGAAATGATTCGAACAACCAAAAGAGTGGATCCCGGTCCGTTGTAGCTTCGAATCGGATGGATATTAAATGTGACGGATGGAACCAACTAGCATAAAGCATTAAGGCCGTCTAAATTCTTTTCACGGGAAATATGAGCCACGAGGTCGTCCGAGCTCAAAGTGAGATATCGAGTGGGAGAGAGTGCGGAATGTCTGTAGAGGTGAGGGAGGGTCGAGAGCGGCGACGATAAAGACGGCGGTCGGAGGTGGCGGGACGATTGTTAGTAACGGCGGGTGAAGAGGCTAGGATTTGTGATGGTAGGATTTTGCGAGATAAACTGGGACAAGGGGCTAAAATTTGAATAGATGGCAATCCTTTTATCTTCTTTTTCGCAAGTATGGTTTTCTCCTTTAATATATTTTTTTTCAAAACCTTCCGGCTGGTGCTTCGATCTCTATTCAACGCGGAACACCTTAAACCTTTCAAATTATACAAATATTGACATGGAGATTAATCTTTCAAAAAAGTCGACATTTGGACTACAAAACTAGTAAATAATGTTTTGTTTAAAATAGCTAAAAACAAAAAGGGAACGCAAAATGCAAAAACTAAATTTGCTAAGTTTGCAAAGTAAGTGACATGCCTATCCTAAGAAATGGTGGCCTTGATTTTAGAGCCCCGGAACTGACTAATCAAGAGGTTCATGATGAAACTAGCATGGGGGCTCATAAGAAGCCTAATAGTCTCTAGGCACGGGTTCATAACGTTTCTCTGGCTAACCGCTCATAAGCGACCATTGATCAATGAATTGAATACGTCTCGTAATTTAGGAAGTGTTGCTTGAAATGTGAATCTCATGTAGAAGCAACTTACATGTTTTACGGGATTGTCCAATTGCTTATAGAATAATGGCTTGAGATTGTCTCGCAACATTCCTTGGAAGAATTCTTCTCAATGAATTTGTCGTAATGGTTCAAAGTAAATCTTACTGCCAAAGGGCGATCAAGTTTTCATCACGACTGGAACATGACTTTTGGAGTAACTATGTGGCTTTTTTTGGCAAAGGCGGAACAAGTCGCTTTTCCAAGACAATTTTGTGTTTCTTTTGAATTCTGCACAGGTCATTCGATCACACATGAAGGAAATCACTGACGCCTCATTTGTGGACAACTTCTTGTTAAGTGGACCACATTCTTCTCCCATTTTGGTCAATTGGGATCCTCCACCTACATGATGTATTAACATGAATACGGATGGGGCTTCTAAAGGTAACCCCGAATTCGCACGCGCAGGAGGATTATTCAGAAATAAAGGGAGTGATAGGCTTGGAGGTTTTGCCTCTTTTCTTGGAATATGTTCACCGTTGTAAGCTGAACTTTGGGTACTGTGGTTAGGACTCAACTTCACCAGGAAACATGATTTTCACAAGCTCATCATTGAGATGGACTCAAAAGTTATTATTCGGCTTATCAACAAAGAGATCATGGTGGTAACATTGGGCATGCTCTGCTAAAGGACATTAGAAGAATGTCGATCTCTCATTTCGAGTTTAAAGTACACCATAACTTTTGAGAACGAAAATCGTCATGTCGATTAACTTGCTAATCTTAGAAGAAAAAAGCGCTCTCATTGCCTCCTAGAGAGTTGTTTCATGCTTTATTAGGTGATAAAGTAAGAACAGTAGATTCTAGATGTTAAATTAGTATTCAGTTTATTTTTATTTACCAAAAAAAAAATCCTAGTCAAAACTTCCCACTTTGCCAAAAGAAATATTATAAGAAGAATTTATTTATTGGTGCAATTATTTGCTTAAATCATGGGGGCCTCGTCACGGGTAATTAGGTCGATATCCCCTTAATGATACTCCCTATTTTATATTATATGATTTATATTTGATTGCGTGCTTCGATGAACTGTCCAAGTCATTTCCTAACTTGACGCAATCACGATATAAAAATAAAAATAAATAAATAAATAAATATATATATATTTCACGAGCCCGTAGTTCCCTGTTTTTCTTAATTATTTATTGGCAATATTTATTTTACAGCAAGACGAGAATCCAGATGGTTGGATTCAGTTATAGTTTCTGACAACGCGGTGCCGACATTTCAGTAAATCTTTTGAATTTTATTTTTTTAAGGAAACTTTAGAGTACATTCCTAAAATCAAGTGGATTACGGATTACGGAATTTGGGCCTGGAGCCAACAATGTCGCTGAGTCGAAAACCGGTTTAAGGAATCCCAGCGTGTCTCTAACAGGCCATTAACCATAATGTCCAATCGGCAATATATTTTCCTTGAATTCATTACTCTTTCGGAGGTGATCGGTTCTAAGATAGGCTAGTTCCAGTCAGAGGGGGCCGGTTCCAAGTTTTCTGATTCCCAATTTGTGGGACCAAAAACCGGCCCACCTGATTTTGGAACCAGATTGGATCGAACTGACCGGTCTGGTTCCCAGGTGGGTCAATGGAAACGGCTCCTTCTACTTTTTGTTTTCCTTGATGAATTCTGAAAGCAAACTTGACCGACCAAGTAACAACCACAGTTTGTAGAGCATCGCTAGCCAACTCGGAAACAACATGGCAATTTCAACTCTATAGATCCCAATTGTGATGAAAAGTGAAAACGACATGCTTACTGTTGAGCTATTGAAATTTACAAATTCGGAAACTCTCGGAAGATATAACAGAATTGTGACTGAGAGAGGCGAAAGGGAGGCGTCAACGGTGGAGCGGTGGCGTCAAGGCGAGGCCACGAAAGGGCATGAGTCGTGAACAAGAGAGGCGTTCTGTGACCGAGAGAGTTTGTGAACCAGAGGGAAAATTTATCTGTTTGGGTTTGTGAAGTTGTGAACAAGAGAGGCAGTTTGTTAACGAGAAAGGGAAAATCTATTTGATTAGGGTTTGTAAGAATTTTAAAAAAAATTGATCCGATCTGGGTGACTCGGGTGGATGGGTCGGGAGTCAGGAACCAGACTGATATTCATTGGTTCCAATTTTATGGAACCGAACTGGCTCTTGTGGGTATCTCCAGGAATCGGCCGGTTCAGTCCGATCCGGGCGATTCTTGATTTAGGTGGATCCTTTTGCTCACCCCTAGTTCTTTCACCACTGTAATTTGGTCCTTGAACTTTGGCTCAATGTGCAATTTGGTCCATGAACTTTTAATTTATTCAATATAGTCCATGAACTTTGGCTCAAAGTGCAACGTGGTCCCTAAACTTTCAATTTGTTCAATATGGTCCCTGAATTATACAAAAATGTCCAATGTAGTCATCTGGAATGACTACATTGAACATTTTTATATAATTCAGGGATTGAATTGAACATGTACCAAAAGTTCAGGGATGACATTGAGCAAATCGAAAGTTTAAGAACAACATTGCACATTGGATTAAAGTTCAGGAACTGTTTGTATCATTATCCCCTTTTCTTAAATTAGGCTCCGTTTGTTTTGCAAAAAGTGAATGATTTTGGAAACATTTTCCTAAAAAGAATTGCTTGATATAATTAGCCTATGTAAAATGTTTTCATGCCCTATAACAATTTATGTGTAAATATCTTCGTGAACGATGAAAATATTTTTATTTCATACATTTTTATAAGTGATACGAGCGATCGGTTTTAGAAAAATATTTTCAAAATCATTCATTTTCTGTGAACAAAAAATACAACTCCATCTATTTTGCGAAAAATTAATTATTTAGATAACATTTTCCTAAAAACAATTGTTTATATCACTTGAAATAAATAGTCAATAAAAAATATCTCATCGTCATCAACAATTTAGGTTTAAATATTTTTATGAATGAGAAAAAATATTTTTCACCCTCTCATTTTCATAGGTGACTCAAGTAATCATTTGTAGGGAAATATTTTCCAATTAATTTATTTTTCGCGAAATAAATGCATCCTTTATTAACTTAAAATTTGAGGTTTATTTAGACCAAGAAAATAAATTAGCCTATTTTTAAGTATTACGTTGTGATTACACATTTGAAATGACTTACTTCTGCAATAAAAAATTAAAATTTAAGGGGGTAATCTATAACTTTTCAAAATTTGCGACCTACTGTAAAATGATGCTGAAGTTCAGGGTAAATTTGTAAGCTTTCAAAATTATGAGGCTATTGGGCCAACGTTCGTGGGGATTTAAGCAATCATCCTAATCAATTTTGAAAGGGGTAATGACACAAATGGTCTTTGAAATTTGATTCGATGTGCAATGTGATCCATGAACTTTAGCTTAATATATTATGTGGTCTTTGAATTTTTAATTTATTCAATATAGTCTCTGGATTTTCAGTACATGTTCAATTTAGTTCTTGGACTTTGATGTTCAATATCGTCTTTTCATTAATTCAAGTTCAAAGACAATATTGAACATTAAATTGAATATGTACTAAAAATTCAGATGCCACATTGAATAAATTAAATATTTAAATAAATTGCGCATGAGCTAAAATTCAGGGGTTATATCGAATAAAGTAAAATTTTATGGATCTCGGGCCAAATCAAGAATCATTGGTGCCATTTTCCCATTTTAAAAAAGCCATCATTCGGAGGAACGAAATCTTTTATGCACGGTGAAGGTCACGCCCTCGACGTCTCAACAAATCTCGACCGTTAAAAATAATCTCAAAATTTATAAATCAAGCAAAGCAAAAAGTGAGTCCGACGTGGACCGCGCGAAGACCACGTTTCTTCCCTCTCTCTTCTTCACGACACTTGTCTGAACACTCTGCTCTGTTTCGTCTCTCTCTCTCTCTCCCTCTCTTTGCATTCTCCGTTTATCTTTCTGTGTCTGGTCGAGTTCGGCTATCAAGATTCCGAGACCCCATTGGTTTTCTCGCCTCCGCTCGCGACAGGAAGAGAGAAAGGAGGCATCTTTCGCTTCGGCAGAGTCTCGGCCGTGGAGGGTCGGTCGGTTGGAGTTGAAGGAGGGGGATTGCCATGGCTCTGCACCTGAGCAGCGCCGCGCCGGCGTGCTTCGCCGCCGCCGACCGCGCGAGGAGCCGCAAGGTGAGGGCCGTCGCGCCGGGGGACTTCGCCACCTTGAAGGCGGCGGAGGAGGAGGGGGAGGAGAAGGTGAAACTGGGGGGTTCCGATCTGAAGGTGACGAGGCTCGGGATCGGGGCCTGGTCTTGGGGGGACACCAGCTACTGGAACAACTTCCAATGGGATGGTAATTGAGCTCGCCGTACATGGCCATGATGGGTTTCTTTTTTTTCTTCTTTTTTTTCTGAATATTGATGAATTCATTCCTTAATGTTTGGTGCTTAATTATGTCGAACAATTCCATTCTTGCTGACTCTTTGATCACGATACATTACAAGCCTGGTTAAGAGCTCTAAATTATATTCAACTTGTTTACAAGTTAGTGGAGCGCTCTTTATTTTCTCTTTCTTTTTTTCAAGAGTTCTTTTGAAGCAAAATTTTTTTCTTTCATAAAGTTGGTATGATATTGTTGTTAAGTTGCGAGTAATATGACGCAGCAGTATCATCCTTAGTTGTTATGATAATGCTGATGATCTGGGTTGCTATTGAAATGCTACTTGAGTGAGGCCTTGCCTGTTAAGTGAAAGAAGTGAGTGTTGACAATGTTTGTTGAAGCTGTTGGGTCTTAGAGTGGTATGTACATTGCAGCTCATTTGGTCGGGAATCTCCACATGAATGTTAAATTCGGTGGATGTGATTGATTTGCTGCTTCAATTCTAGCTTTTTGTTTTCTAACATGAAGATTTGTGGTCCGTCATCCCGATTTTCATTGTGTTGTAAAATGTTGACTCTTGCTTGAACAAGGCCATTTTATTGCTCTATCCTTGAATCATGTATCTCCAAGTACACTCACCCTGTAATTAGTTGCACCACTAACTATGTAAATTGTGAGACACAATCCCTGAACTGTGCGTGTGCCTAAGGTACGTGGTCCGAGGACCCTATCCACGAACTTCAAGCTTTACAAACAATGATTGGGCTTTATGATTTTTCGGAACTGCAGAGATGCCCAAATTTCAGCTACCCTATTTTTGGTTTTCTATTTCTGCATCTTTTTCTGAAATACAATCTGAAGCGAAAGCCATGATACTGTGCCTTAAACTTTGACTCATACCTCTCTAATTCCTTTTTGGGGGATCATCTTTTAGTACTGTTAGGTTCTTCTTTGCCTAGTCTCTCTCGAAGGATGAAACTGAAAGTGAACAAAAAATAAAGTGGTCATTGTTAACCTTTTTTGGCAAATGTAAGTTTGTAGCAAGTTAGCGGCTCCTCATTTAAAGGAAGTCCTCCGCTTCACTGAGAGCACTTACTAAGATAACTTTTCCGCTTCTTCACAATCATGTCGTAGTTTCACTCTTGTTTTCAGATTATCCCTTGAGATAATTCATGTTGAAACTTTATCTTGTGATTTGATGTCAGATAGGAAGATGAAGGCTGCAAAGGGCGCTTTTGACAGCAGTATTGATAGTGGAATAACCCTGTTTGATACTGCTGAGGTTTATGGGTCGAGGGTGAGAAGTGAATCCAGACTGCTCTGTTTGTTCGATAAATTTATGGAAATTCTGTAATCCAAGAGAATGTACATCACTGTAGTCTTGTTTTTGCAGATGTCATTTGGTGCTATAAACTCAGAAACTCTACTGGGCAGGTATAACCATATTCTGGGTCGTGTAGAGTTTCATCTAGTCATTCTGACATGAGTTGTGATTGTTGCTGTTTGAATTCTTGAAGATTCATAAAGGAAAGGAAAGAAAAGGATCCAGAAACTGAGGTTGCTGTTGCGACGAAGTTTGCAGCATTGCCATGGAGACTGGGCCGTCAGAGTGTCATTACTGCCCTCAAAGATTCTCTTTGTCGCCTAGGACTTGATTCAGTGGACCTATACCAATTGCACTGGTCTGCACCTTTGGGCCTTGTGTAATACTTGCCTACGTTCATCCTATTATAAATATTAAGAAAAGTGACTAATGAAAGAAATCTGTTGTTTCTCAGGCCGGGAGTATGGGGAAATGAAGGTTGTCTATGTGTAACACATTTTGTTCCATTGGGCACTCTTCGAGATAGCTAAGACAAGTTTGCTGAAAAATTATTGTCAGGGTACATTGATGGTCTTGGAGATGCAGTTGAGCAAGGTCTTGTGAAAGCAGTTGGAGTTTCCAACTACAGCGGTATATTCCTTGTTTCCAAAGCATGCTTATAGATACTGTTTCACGGCAACTTGCTACCCTCTTTTTTTTCCCATTTTTAGAGAGATAAGGTATCTTATTATGAGGTTTAAATCCTCTGTCCACTATTACTTCATAAATAAGCATATTCTGATATGTTCACTAATGCCCAGAAAGGAGACTTCGTGATGCCTATGAGAAGCTTAAGCAGAGAGGGATACCACTAGCTTCAAACCAAGTAAACTACAGCCTTATATACAGATCACCTGAGGAGAATGGTGTGAAGGCTACCAGCGATGAACTTGGGATCACTTTGATTGCATATTCACCAATAGCTCAAGGTAAGTGCCAATTGCTTTTGTCTACCGGGGAAAGTCAATGAAGCTATTGTTAAGGACGATGGTAGGGTAAGGATCTGTTCCGCATTGGCAGTCGTGGAGAAGCTGCCTCTCCAGTTTTGCATTCATTTGAATTTAATAATTTGGAATTTTTAGGCTAGTCATCATAACATCTTAATAACTTATTATTTTCCGGACAATAATACACAATGAGTAAATGGAAACTGCATAAAGTAGCTTTCTGCACTTTTTTAGGTTCTTTGGTTATGCTTTAACTTGAAAAGAAAGATTGAATTGGCCCACCCTGAACATGTTATTGGTAAAGCAAGCAATGTTTCATTACTTTGGAAAAAGATTTATGGTCTTTAGTGACAATGAGAAGTGCTTAGGAGGGAGCTAATTTATAATGCTTTCATTATGTAAACTGCTTGGCCTAGTTAGTGTGAGTCAAGTTGGGAATTAAAAAGACTGGGAACCTTGATTCGTATTTCAACTTTCCATTTCGTTATTGTCAAACACATAATTAGGCGTGTACTATAGTTTGTTGATTATTCATCTCTAGTTTCCTCTGTTCTTAAACGGGCTTTGAAGATTGACATGGTGGTTCAACTTATGCAGGTGCTCTTACTGGAAAATATACCCCAGAAAATCCACCAAGTGGCCCCCGTGGTCAGATCTACACCCCTGACTTTCTCACTAGGGTAAACCATTCGCTATATATAAATTACTTTCATCCCTCAATTCCTGAGATTCATTCTTGAAGATTTCTCAATGCTTGCAGCTACAACCTTTGCTGAATAGAATAAATGAAATAGGAGACAGCTACAAGAAAACCCCAACACAGGTAACTATACTCCTTTCTTCTAAAAAGGAACCGCAAACTAAGCAATCACCACATGTTAAGAGTGCAGAAAATGAGCAGTAGACAAAGCAGTTTGCATATATTTGCATTGCATCAGTGTCGTCTTGCGTTATTCTTGTACTCAAATTGCACCAAGACACTCGTCAAACCATACACAGCATCACTGCATCATACCACGTGTACGGCCCCTTCATGTTTTTGTTTGGCATTCCATGTATGTGTCTTATAACGAGCTCCTCATGGAAAAGACTAGTTAATACGTGCCTTCTGTCTTGGTAGGTTGTCCTGAATTGGCTCATAGCACAAGGTAACGTAGTCCCCATTCCCGGAGCCAAAAATGCTGAACAGGCAAGTGAATTCGGGGGTGCACTTGGGTGGAGACTCACTGGTGAAGAGGTCGATGAGCTGCGGTCACTGGCCTCAGACATAAGACCTGTTGTAGGCTTCCCGGTTGAGAACTTGTGAAGCCGGTGTCATTTACTGTGAGTCCCTGCCATTATATAACTACAGATTTCTCATTACCAATCGATATCAAAATACCGGTATAGTAATTTACTGCAAGTCCCCAGCAATCAGAAGTGGGCGTTATGATCCTGAGGAAGCAAAGAGGCGGTCTCTTTCATCACATCTTTTGACATAGGAAGTCATTGGAAAATTCTCTGTTCACGAACATTACAATATAAAATTCCTTGAAAGGGCATCAATATGGCATTGCTATCTTACTGAAAACCTACCGCTTTCGCCGAGTCACAGTAGCTGTCGAATCATTTATTTTGTAAGAGGAGATAAAATTTGCGATTCCCATATTAGTGTCGCCTGGAGAGCACTACCATGGCTATGAATAGGCGGCCTTTTGCACAACCTTGAGTTTCATACCGTGATGGGGACTTATTTGAAAAGAAAAATCCTCTAGCCAGGAGTAAGCAAATAAATTAAAACAAGTGTGATTTAATTGTCGTATCAGCCGCGATAGGGGGTGCATATGGTTAAAGTAGCTATGCAAAATTAGAGAAGCGAATACGTTGTCATTAGAAACTTATTATTGCACATGAGATGTGGAATGATCAGTGAGACATCTTATGTTGTTCCTGTCACGTTTGATAACGAAGTCTGTGCATCCCAAAACGAGTTTAAAGGACTTCTTAATCAGCTGTGCGTGAACAGAGAAAAGAACTTCTCTCTCGAACTGTTTTGAGGATCAAATTTCTGTCTTTTAAAGGGCTGAGTCTCAAATAAGGTGATCTGAAGGGAGATTAAGGATCTTAATGACCTTACTGGCATTCTCCATTCCCCGAAATCGTCTACTATCGTCGCTCATTACCAAGCGACTCCGCGAAATTCGCAATCACGTCAACTTGTCGCGTGATATAATCAAATCATTGAGCAATTAAGTTAATCACGAGATTGATATGTTCGTGTCAATCAAATCGGTCCATCTTTCAAATGGTTGGGTCCATCTTTCTTGGGACACAGAGTCAAATTCCTTGACAAAGAATCTGGCAATCTTATGGGGCCATCCTCTTTCCCTTCCTTATCCACATTTAATCAGATGCGTCTGAATCTGAACATCTCTTCTTTTTTATTCCTTTCTGTTTCCCTTCACTCTCATATGCTTTTTGCTTCTCTTCCATCTTCTTGGCCATATGAGAGCTTAGAGCTTCTCTGAGAAAGGTCTTCAGCATAATATAAAAGGCAATGCTCCAATCAAAGATGCCGAGATAGTGATTCCCAGAGATTTGCTCGACGTCGACTTGGATTCCATTGCAGGAATGGATCGAATTATGTTGGGTTTCAACCCGGCGTAAACTCTCGAGACTAGGTTAAGACGAAGTGAATTCTCTAGGATCTCCGAGGTTATAGCATGGATGGCCTGTCTTTAACTGGAAATCATAAATGAGGGGGATGGACATAGACGCAGAGTTGGCCCGGCCATATGACGTGAAATAAAACATCAGAGTAAGGCTGCGAAATGGGTGGATACAATGATCTTGCCGAGTGATTATTCCCTTCTGGTGCAAGATGTAAACCATGAAGATGATTGGGATATTTAATGACCTCTCCTATCCCCAACAACTCCTTCTCAAGAAAAACAAAATATTTATAGCTCAGAAATGCATCCCCATCTAAAAGCGGTGGCATCTTTGGGCAAAGCAGTGTGATCCCCTACTTTCATATGAAAAATGGACCAACGGGGTCCAAATCATTTGTTTTCCATGTGTTTTTTTCCCCCTCAAGTTCTAGAGATGACGAAGTTCATGAATCTCTTCTTTCCTGAAGCTGGTCCCTTCCCTGGTGTATGGACCACACCCGATATATTTTGCTCCAAGACTCCATAATTCATGATGTTTTGCCGCATTATTATACATGAAATAATAGAGAATCTCTCTGATTTTGCAGGGACCAGAAAGTTATGGAAATACCCGGTGGCTTGGACGTTGAGTTGACCCTAGATAGGCCAGCAGAGGTAATGAAGATTCCAAAGTAACGAATTCGACTATAAACTAGCATGACAAATACATCTGATTATGATACTTTCACAATATATCTTGTGAATTTCATGTCGTTACAAATCATTAAATGAACAATAATCTTACTTTCTATGTAAAAACTCGTACACATGTCAAGCCTATATAAGAATCTTCATGATCAAAATCTTCTCAACTTCTGTTCACTTCACAATGTTTTCCTCTTCATTTTCAGTCACCGATCCCTTTCTTTCCGCAAAGTAATATCAAGACCTAAGCTTTATACCAAGTTGCCTTGATGCTATACAACTAATTTGTTTTGCCCCCCCCCAAAAGAGAATGAAATCCTCATCATCTTTGTTCCCCCAATTGCTGCTCAGCCACCCTTATCGTCTTCCTGATAAGAACAAACGAACATTGCCACCCAATGTCCCCTTACGTGTGTACACACGATGAAACCTGGCTCTGAAAACCTTAAAATAAGCTAATATAAAAGGGTTAAAATAATCCATCTTTATATGCGTTATTTATGCATGTGAGCATCAGAAATTCATTTTCTTGAATCTGCAATTACCCTCTCCATTTGTCCAACATGGCTTGTCCAGATGAACAAGTCTCCCTAGATTTGGGCCAAGTTTTTTCTGTATTAACCATGAATCATGAGTAGTCGCAAGTTTCTCAGAAATCTTTTTTCCTCTGACAATCCTTTCCCCTATCATTACCAATAAAATAACAATGGCAACTGCACACGTGGCACCACCCTTGTGCATCTTCAGATTGCACCTCCAATGGGTGAGAAGAAGTAGATTTCCCAAGCCAGATCAGCCCCAAAAAAAGCCAAAAAAAGAAAAACAAGAAATACTAAACCACTGTGGTCCCTTGTGCACAGTTTTCCTTGTTTTTTTCGGTTATTCTTTTGGCATTTTGGGGGGTGACTAAATTCAATGCTGTGTGGAAGGTCATTGTGCGCTACAGTACACAATTTATTGCATAATCCTAACCCTCCATCCCCTCTTGATTCTCTCTACGCTGTCCTTTTCTTTCTAACTGGAGTTAAAAGTCTCTGGTCTTCTTTGTTCTCTCATTTTTCTCACTACTTAATCATTTTGTAACTGCTGTTCTTGGTCTCTCTGAGAGAGAGAGAGAGAGAGAGAGAGAGACAGTATTGGAACTTGCAAGACTCGTAGGTTGTTCTTTCTTTTTACCCTGCTGAGAACAAGTCAAAGATTGGCTCTGGTCAGGTTCGTTTGATTTCCATTCCCAGTTTTCCATTTTGGGTGTCTGACAAAATTCCTCCTTTCTGAAGTCTAGTTTGTTCCCTCGAATTTCTCTTTGTTTTCTGGTTTGAAGTTTTCAACTGGTTCATGGGCGTCTCACGTCTTGTTGGTTTAGGACAGGATGGATCATATCTTTTCCAAATATTTAATCAATTTCTTAATTGCAGCACAGTGGGTGTTCGAGAGCTTCAGCTCCTGTGTTTCATGGCTCTTTCTTTCTCTTTCTAGAAATTTTTGTTTCTTTAATCGTTCTTTTCTCTGTTTGAAGAAACGGGTAGATTGGGGATGTTTGATTATCTTTTTGTCTTTCGTTGTCAAATTAACAATTGAGTAAAAGGTACTGTTGCTGAATTAAGAATAATATCATTGTCTTAAACTTCAGTTAAGTGGGTTGCCGATTAAGTAATTGTTCCCCTCTTGCTTTTTCTCATGCGTTGATTGCTGTACTTCCCAAAATGGCGGTGATCCTTTTTTGCTGTTTCGGTTTCGTGTCCCAGTCAACCATTTAAGAATCAGTTAATTAAATTAATTAAGGTCCCTAAACGGCATAATCTATAAATTAAATGCTCTGCTCAGTTTTGTTTAAAGCTCCTTTTGTTCATTCTCCTTTTTTATGTGTCTGTGCAGAAACTTTTTGTATCTGGTGGTCAGCTATGAATCCTTGCCTTCCTGATTGGAACTTTGAGTATGATCTCCCTTTAACCAACCAGAAGAAAAACATTGGGTACTCTCTCTCTCTCTCTCTCTCTCTCTCTCTCACACACACACACACACACACACACACACACACACACACAAAGGACACCCTCTATTTCTATGTCAGTTTGGATTGATTCAGTTTCATTGATGAATTGGTCAGGTCTGACCCGGAGCTGGTGGAGCTACTATGGCAGAATGGCCAGGTTGTTATGCACAGTCAAAACCATCGAAAGCCGAGCTCAAACCAGCATGAGAACAGTCAATTGCAGAAACATGATCAGCCGATTATGAGAGGCGGTGGGTCTTATGGGAATTCTAGCAATTTGATTCAAGATGACGAGACAGTCTCATGGATCCATTATCCTGTTGAAGATTCTTTTGAAAAGGAATTCTGTTTGAACTTCTTCAATGAATTACCGGTGCCTCATCCAATGGAGATCGATAAGGCAGTCAGGCAAGTCGAAGCAGAGAAGATCGTGAAATTAGGCAGTTCAGATGATGCCCTAAATACAAGTAACCAGCAATCCACCATTAAGGGTACACTTGTTCCTGAAATTTCTGGGAACCAAATGCCACCTCCACGAGTTCAGTTCGCCAAATCCGCTCAACAAAACAATGTCTCTGGAAACCTGGGAAAGGTTGTGAACTTTTCTCAATTCGCAGTTCCTGTCAAGGGTGATCCGAGACCTTCTAGTCTTCACTTTGGAGGCGATGCTCGAGAGTGTTCGGTTATGACAGTTGGGTCTAGCCACTGTGGAAGCAACCAAATTGTCAATGACCCAGATTTTAGTAGGGCATCAAGCAATGCTGCTGGCACAGCTGGCTTTTCTGCCGGGACTTTTAAGGAAGATGTCCATAAAAGCGTAGTTTCTCAGAGTGAGGGGAGGAAAACAGAGACACTTGAGCCGACTCTTACTTCATCTTCCGGTGGATCAGATAGTAGTTTTGGTGGAACCCTCAAGGAATCCGCTGGTGCGAGCAGCCACAAGAGGAAGGGCAGAGATAATGAGGAATCTGAGTGCCAAAGCGAAGTAACGATCCCTCTTTCTTCTTTTTCAATCAAATTTCATTTTGTTGAACCTAACATCGGAATTATTCAGGCTGCTGAACCAGAAGCTGCTAGTGGAAAGAAGCCAGCAACGAGGTCGGGATCAACTCGCAGGAGCCGTGCTGCCGAAGTGCATAACCTCTCTGAAAGGGTGTGGACGCAATTCCATGAACATTCCTTGTCTGTTAAACCAAATTACTCTGCAATTTTATTGGGCATAACTGTTGGGACGTTAATGCAGAGGAGGAGGGATAGGATCAATAAGAAGATGAAGGCATTGCAAGAGCTTATACCTCACTGTAACAAGGTCTTCCTTTGTTCTATTAACACAATTTGATAATTTTTTGATTCTCACGGAATTTGTAAATCATTGCTTCTGTTGGATAATAAATTCCATTTTCTTTGTTGCACTTTCAATTTGTGCTGGGATTGATAGTCTTTTGCATGCCAAGACACATAATTTCCATGAGTAACCAGCTAAGTGACGATAAATCGGCCCACAAACGTATTTCTAGATACAAAAATGGCTCATTCTGTATTATAAGAGAAGGTAGCAGCAAAAATTGTACTTGAGATGCTCATAAGTGGGTTGATTTGTTTTGGCAGACGGACAAAGCATCAATGCTTGATGAAGCTATTGAATACTTGAAGTCTCTTCAGCTGCAGCTACAGGTATGTGGTACTTTCTGGAGCCATGGAACAGAAAACATTTAGATAAGCAGTCCAGCTCAATATGAGGGAGGTCATATGTCTTCCCTTTCATTGTCGAGTGAAATCTTCTTCCTTCTATGGCTGCTTTTAGAAAAAGCACTTGCTGTTTGGAGAATTAAGTGGTTAGCCTCATATTCGTTGTGGTTGAAGTTACATTTTGACCATAAAACTCGGGAAAAAGCAGCACCTAATCATTTCATGGATATCTAAAAACCCTTGGGTTCTCGGTGTTTTAGATAATGTGGATGGGAGGTGGGATGGCTCCAATGATGTTTCCTGGAGTACAGCATTATATGTCCTCAATGGGTATGACGATGTGCCCACCGCCTTTGCCCACTGTATCCAACAATATGCATTTGCCTCAAGTCCCGGTAGTTGATCAATCAATCCCAATGGCTCCAAACCCGAATCAGTCAGTAATTTGCCATACTCCAGTTCTGAATCCCATCAATTTTCAGAATCAGATGCAAAATCCCTCATTTCCCGAGCAATTCGCGCGTTACATGGGCGTCCACCACATGCAAGCCGCATCACAGGTTTGAAGGTCCTTACGCAATAGAAATATTTTGTGGCGCTTTGAGGTTGATTATGGTCCCTTGATCATGTATCGAACTTTTCTTGTAGCCCATGAATATGTTCAAGTTCAGCCCTCAGACTGTACAACAGATTCAAACAAATACACTGCCTGGCAATAACAATGGGCAATATAGTGGAGGAGCTGCAAATGATGCTTTAAGTGGCAAAATGGGTTAGTCACTTTGTCATTTGTCCTCCCAGATATGTAATGAACTAGGAAATCCCTTGATTATTACTTTGCAACAGTTTAGGAGTTAGGACATGATGTGTACTTTAGGGTTGCGAAAATCCTATAAGAAATGCTGTAAAAGATACATGGGTAAATCTAATCCTGTCTTGTTAAAATAATGGCAGGTTAACAAGTGGCCATGCTCTTTGGAAGCTTGTATTTCCACTAATATCAGATGGTAAGGGGTCATACTCTTCAGTGGGAAGACATTGAATGGCTGCTTGATCCGTATCTGGCTAATTGGTGATTTATGTACTCATCTCATTGATGAGTTTACTACTACAACTACTATGAGGGTTTAACGAGTATGGATGAAGCTGGCTCCATTACTTATGTTGAATCTGCCGTAATTGGCCTGATAAGAAGACCACCCTCTCGGTCCTTGAGATTTTTTGTTTGCAATTTTCAGTAGTTACATGGTCAATTTACTATTCTTCCCAAGTACGCTTGTAAATTTCTGTACATTGCGTATTATAAGTGGAAGAACCGGAGCTAACACCATTAGAAGCGCAGAATTGATGGTATTGATGGAGGTGAGATTTGTAATGGGAAAGGGTTGATAGTGGGACTACAATTATACATATTTTGTTTCTTTAGACTTTCTGTTCTTTTAGTCCTGTTAATTTAAATTCTTCAATTATGTCTCAGGAAATGGTCCGTATTTTCTTATTAACCATTCGCTCTACCAAATTCACCGATGAATTCGAGCTTTTCGTTTACACACTCCGGTTTATTGTTGGCATCTAATTGAAGTTAGTAGTCATCGCAGTGTATCTGAAATTCGCCTTCCATTGGACTTCTCTAGAATAGACAATTTCGAACTGCTCCATTTGATCTCCCACCATTGAAATAAACTCGCATAATTTTCGGTGTTTTTCAGGATGGCGGTCTTTCCTTTGAGAAGAGAGTGAAGAAAATTTGAAATTCTTGGTTGATGTTCATAATCTACAACAGAATCAATTCAAATGCCGAGTGTTGATGACATATCTTCAAGTACCTTCCCCAAGAATTCTGCGCAAGATCGAGTTGATCGTTCTCCATCCACTGAGTTCCTCTATGCAAATAGAAATTGCTTTACAACATCCTGAAGCTCTTATAGTCCACAGTCCTATGTTAATGGCTGCTTATTCCTACTTCCAATAGCAGAAACATGTCGAGCCGACTGAATTGTAGTCCCTGCTACTTGAACTAAAAGGACCCATGATTCGGTCTATAAGTGCGTCGCACCCCTTGCATCCTAGGTTGTCAATGCCTACGCCAAGAGCGAGCTTTGTTGCTCATTATCTGCTCCATATTCTATCAAGCACTGAGTGAAAGCAACTTCCTCTCTTGCAACGACTTTCCAGCACTAAAGCAAAGACAAGATGCTCATTGACACTGTTCATGGCGTCACTGATGCAAAATAGCACGGAAATGGCAGTGGTTCTGTCAAGTCTCATCGAATTCTTCAGTCGGGATTGGTGGGGAAGTGCTGATGAGTAGTACTTCACTAGGGTGTGCTAATGCTCATTCTCTGTGTGCAAGTTGTGCTTGTTTTGCACATGTCAACTAATAAATCATACCCTAAACAAGAGTGAAAGAGCACTGCCATTCAATGATGCTTACATGAAAAAACACGCGATGTTAAACTTCAGTTTTGGTCACATGAAGTCTGGGAAAATCGACCAAGACATCTTTTCTATCATATATTCCGATGAAGTAGCATCAAATAGGAAATAAAAACATGACATCGACTCAACTCGCCTGCTAGAAACCTCAACGATGTCGCTACGCAAATGTCGAAGCTTTTGAAATGTTAGTCCATCTCGACCTACATAGGATGCCACTAAGGATGAGCTAATAGACTTTGGCACAATTGCGGGATAGACGAGATGTCCTAGGAGTCTTCTTGTTGCTTTGTGGAAGTCAATATCAGCATTAATTCACCGATCAGGTACTACTGACTGGACCCTAAGACAGCATGGTCGTCGTTGCCCTACAAATCTTCGAAGGGATCTTGATGCCATACAAGAAGGGTCACCATTCCAGTCATTTAGGAGGCAAACCATTTGTTTAAATTTATCCTATGATCAGTGCAAAGCGCAAGAAACTATCCGGCGTGTTTTTTACATGGCTGACGTGATGAAACAAGCAAAATCATTTTTCGATAAAGCGGGGACGTCCTACTGCAGGGGGGGAGATAGAACTTTGTTTCTTGAAATTTGATCTAGGACGCAGACTGTTATGCCACACACGACATATTCCAAGCCAAGACATCCCCTGTGTGGTCACAGGAAGATTTTTGTTTGGCAACTTTTCTTAGCACAAGTGGAGCGGTGCAAAAATGCCTTCATCGTCGTCATCACCATCATCTCAGCTGTGATATTCTCAGTAAGCATCATAGTGCTCTCTTCTACTTTAATGTGTCCATTCTCTCTCTCTCTCTCTTCTCTGAGTTGCAAAAGATCCTGGCTCTATCTTTTCCTCACATAGTTGCATGTTGGAGAGAGACAGAGAGAGAGAGAGAGAGAGAGAGAGAGAGTTAGTTTTTGGAAATAATCTTTCTGAGAGGATAGCTATAACATGAGTAAAACTAGGTGATATTAAATCAACGTTATGATACGAAAGTTGGCTATTATTAGGAAAGTATCCACTGATTCTATACATATAAGATTGTCTTTGACTGTAAACATGTGAGACAATACCATGCCAAATAAAAAATATAAGGCTGGCAGTTTCCGACAACATATGTTAATACGATAATTGGACTTTGACCAAAAAAAAAATACAATCATCGGACAAAACGACCACCACACGAATTTAACGTACATAAGTTTCATAGCATAGTTAACAGAAAAATATGGATGACATAACTCCGCACAGTTACGAGATCAGAATATGACACGTGAACACGAATTGCCAGCATCGAGAAAATATCGAGAGAAATTCAAATCTAAGTAAGCCGAATTGAAACTAATACAATTTGACTCATAAATTTAGACTTTAGTTTGAAAAGTTCGAGTCACCCACGCGAATACAACGATATTTGATATTTGTCGACCTATATATTTAGGGGGGGCGGGGCGTGGGGTATATTTTGTATGTATGCAAAGAGAATATATTCAAGTGGAGCCACTTAGAAGATAGTGGTGCAGATAGCTCTGGCTTGTTCCCACATATCCCTTCGCATCTCTCTTTCTTTTTGACGTTGGAAACTCGAAAGCGAGAGATGTCCCCAAATTTATGGGGACCCCCCCACCCTCTTTGTCCCAATCTATTTGCCCATGTTTCATGTCCACAAGCTGGGACTTCGTTTTGGAGAAGATTGATGCCCCATCAGCATCGCACCATCCAGCACAACACCAACTTACACATCCTCTTAAATGCCCACTAACCCACCACTTCACATCAATCCCCCATGTTGATGTGAAATCTAGGGGGAAAAGTTTCACTTTCACAGACTCTCTAATCTAGGGTTTTGTTCAGTTTTGTAATCTAAATCTAGGGTTTTGTTTAGTGTTGTTAGCAGTCGATGGGACAATGCATCATTATGCAGTTGCACATCTCTCTGCATTATTATGATGTTTCTTCAATCATTCCCACGATCGGAACATGGCATAGCTTTTGTTGTTGTCGTGGGTCGAGTAAAAAGTACAAACATAGTGTGAATTACAACGTTGAAGAGAACATTGGAGGGTCTTGAAAGACCTAGAAAGGACAACAGGGGACCTACTCTATCAATCACACGGTAAACATATGCGTAATACACGTTCGTGGTGGCGATGAGAAGACGAGTTTCAGTTAACTACGTTTGCATTTGTTATCTTTAGCTGCTGCGACGGAGAGGGACACGAGGTTATCCTTCAATTCATCGTGGAGCTGCATCCGTTCGGTCACGATATCGCATAACTTGTCGTGGTTACATTTACCAACTACCTGTGAGAAAAACATGAAATAAGATCTGTGAAGAACAAAAAGGGGGAATAATAACACAAAGTTTATTTGCCTCGAGAATTTGAGGGAAAAGAATGAAGCGTGATTGTTCTAAGTACCGTAGTTAAAAAATTTCGCGTATCTACCGTTTTGACTCGCAGATAACAATATAGGCACAAATTTAAAAATATGCGTACGCTATCGTCGATCATGATTATCTATGATCAATTGAGATGATCGATTGTCTATTGGATCTGTCCTTCCTCCAACAGGGTTGTTCTAGCTTAAATTGTCACCGCCTAGCTGGTGGAACAATTGAATCTCTTCAGATATGCAAGGTATAGACTCCATTTATACCTACACAATTGATGATTCATATGTATGCTCTAAGATGAATAGACCAATGATTAGCTACAAAACTGGATGCATCAACAAGGTCCAATGTACTAAACGCACATTCCAGAAAGAGACCTCTAGAGGAGACCCATCTTCCATACCTATCCGAAATGGTATTTTGCCTGCTACATAATACGATACTCGTGTGCTATATCAGTAGATACACGTAATTAGATTAGCCGAAAATCGAGCGCAGCCATTTCTCATCCTAATATTATGGTCGGAAATCCTACCGTCGTCATCTAAAATGAACTTTACCTACAGAGACGATCATACCAAAACAACTAGTGAGCTGAAATCACCTGATTGAGAATTGCAGGGTTGTCTTTGGTGGCACCACGTTCTTCTTGCCTGCAAGCTTCTGCTTCATTCCGTCTCGGTTGCTCTTGTGACATCTTCTCTTCTCTTTGTTCCTACAATCTTTCTTCACAACAAGAACTTCACGCAACAGGAATCGAACATTTAAAAGACATGGACATCTCCGAATTCAGCGGATGCGGGCGGCAATGCGTGCATGATGCGTGTCGCCAGCACACCCGATTGTGTACCGTGTCTCAAGGGCGTCGAGCCTACGTGCTGCCAAGCACGTAGATGTAGGGATGAAATTTGGGGAGAAGAATGAGGGGAAGATGTTCAAAAGAAGAGGGCACATTGAGGCCCATCAAAGGCAAAAGCCCATTTTTGGCCCAACAGATTCGCTAGAGACTGTGTAAGATTAGAGCTGAATCATGGACAAGGGAGTTGTCCCGAATACGAGATTGTTTCAACTTTGATCGTGTGAGAGATTAGATTAGTGGTATGTACACAAACCCATCACTAATCAGTAACAATTTGCTAATTATATTGAGTTACTGTCACTTGTCGGGCTGATTCCACTAACTATATAGGACCTGTCTAGGTTCCATTTATTTTGCGGAAATTTGAAAAAAAATTTTCTTAAAAGTAGTCGCGTGTATCATTTACAAAAATGGATAAACGAAAAATATATTCACCGTCCATGAAATATTTATATATAAATTATTGTCGATAATGAAAATATTTTTCATTGGCTAATTATTTCAAGTGTTATTTTTTTTAAATCATTAATTTTTCGCGAAACAAACAGACTTGTCTCGACAAGCATGTTGGCCAAGAAAACTCCAACCAAGAATCACCTCACCCCTGTAGGATCTTTTCCACCATGCATTCATAGCATTTATTCCTGTCTCACCACGAAAATATTTAGACATAAATTGTTGTCAATAATGAAAATATTTTCCATTGGCTAATTATTTCAAGCGATATATTTTTTGTCAAATTATTAATTTTTTGCGAAACAAATGGACCTGTCTCGCCAAGCATGTCTGGCCCAAAAAAACTCCAGCCAAGAATCACCTCACCCCTATAGGATCTTTTCCCCCATGCATTCATAGCATTCATCCCTGTCTCGCCACGAAAATATTTAGATATAAATTGTTGTCGATAATAAAAGCACTTTTCATTGGCTAATTATTTCAAGTGATTATTTTTTTTCAAATCATCAATTTTTCGCGAAATAAATGGACTTGTCTCGCCAAGCACGTTGGCCCAGAAAAACTCCAATCAAGAATCACCTCACCCCCGTAGGATCTTTTCCGCCATGCATTCATAGCAGTCATGAATTATTAACGTCCCCCACAAAAGCAACTCAATTAATGAGATCGTACGTATGTGACATTGACAACTCGTACCTGGCTAATGCGGTATCGCCAATTCAATTGGGTGTTCTTATTTTCAGGATATGTTCGTTGGTCAGCGTGCCATATTTGCAATTTGCAAGAAACATTCGAGTGATTAGTGGTATCAAATTAGCATATCACTTGATAAAGTGTCATGTAATATATTTTCTCACGACCTGAAAGGAGAAATATCATTTATCGCCCTATGGAAATGCAAACTTAGTTTGGTAATGAAAAGTAATAAATCTCCTATCTTGTTCTTATAAAACCATTAAAATCTCTATTGTGTAGTTATTTTTATCCCTGGATTATGGAACCAATGCAAATGTAAATTAGCCTGGTGGAAACCATCTAATCCGCAATTTCACTTTGACTTTTAGTTTATGCGTGTAGGAGAAAACGCGGGTCCTCTTGTGCATGTACGACCCTGAAAGACATGACCTGTAGATCATAGTTGGGTCCCCTCTAATGAAAGCAACATGAGCTGACTATTCACATGTCGTATCGCATAGTAATTTATCTGAGCTTATAAGACACAATCTAGCCATACAAAATTAGGGGCGTCAAAAAGATCCGAGCCAATCCATTTCGCCGAAAAGTTATCGACAAAAACCTTTTTCAAAATGTGGAACGATGTGGAATTCGATAAAAGGATGTGAAAAGTCCCCTGTCGATTTTGGACGATAAAATAATTGACAATAAATTTAAATGTACGGAGACCGGAGACAATCGCGTGCAATCATGTAAATTGCAAGAAAGTAAAGATAAAAATAAATTTGCAGAAAAACGTTAAATTCTGTTATTGATTGGGGGTTCTGCTTTACAAAAAGTACACTTGGGGTATACATAATCCATAATCGACAGTTACACAAACAACTACAACCATGATTGTTGACTCCACTATTTGACGGTTATCGACTCTACTAAACCACCGTTATTGACTCAACTACTCGACAATTATGTTGCCTCCACTTCCTTGATGGTTACCTCTATGCCGATTGCATTCAAGAATGTCAACATAACGCTTGAACATTTTTTTGTGTCAACATATGCCCACTTTTAAAAGAATTGAATGATTTATCGATCATTCAATTGTTTTGAATTAGATAATCTTCGACCAAAAAAAAAAAGATAATTAATTTCATCTTGGTCACATTCATCATCTGACTCATATCTTTCCACTAAAGCCATGTTTCATAGAAACCCTTCATGTGTCCCTTTTATCTATGTCTTTAAACAATTGCTCATACTTAGACACTCTCATTATCGATTAAAATAAATCGGCAAAGTCTCGGCCTTTAAATCTTTCTCTTAAATTAAATTCAATCCATTAAATGCCAAATATATAAATTCTTTTTCAGAGAGTGAAGTGAGGCATATTATTCTTAGCCTTCTTAAACCGAGCAATAAACTAGTTGACTAACCCATTGCTATGTTGATAAAGTCTAGCCAATTCAGCAATTGATACCTCAGGTATTGTTTAATAAATTTGAGAATGAAATGGTCTTTTCATCTCTGCCCAATTACACATCGAATTAAGTAATAAATTAGTATACCAAGTGAAATAAGATTTTGACAAAGACAAAGGAAATAACATAAGTCTTGAAAATTCATTCGATTCTTCTTCACTGCATTGCGCTAAAAATTGATTGACATGTTCAATGGTCAATTATTCATCTTTGCCAATGAAGATGGTAAAGTTGGGAATTTTAAAACCTCTACGAAAATGTTAATTATCAACCCATTCTTAATAAGATTTCCTATAAACAAGCCTAACAATTTTCCTATTTAAACCCAATTCTTATCTAACTTCTTTGGCAAATTGTGTTGGATTTAATTGAGGATTTAGTTGGTCATCTTGCCTCTTAAGCGGTGACGCTGGTATCGCTGGATTATTTATATTGACATTGATTAGTAAGTTCGGCCTAACAAGGATGTTGGCATTTGGTGGTGCCATAACAACAAGGGCTTGATATTTTCAACTTTTGGCGTTTAACTGATCTGTCGGCCAATCTAGTTTGCCGATTTGTTATTACCGACTAGATTATTTTAATCAACATTGTTTCCATTGTTAAAAGCAAAGCAACTAAGAACATACCTTGATACCATCGGATTGGCTTTGAATGTTGGTAGTTGATTAGATGATCTTGACCTTGACAGAGCATCATTAACAGTATTGATGACCATTGACTTGATCGCATGCGACGTGTGGCTCATGATGTAATTAGCCATATCATTTCGCTGCTCATTGAGCAATCTTCTCATGGTTGACATCATACTGAGAGTTGGTGCAAATTCCCCCAGCGGATCTTCACTGAGGTGCCCTAGGACATCTTCCTGTCAATTACCCTCTGCCACTCTTCCAGCAGCTGAGGACTCATAATGTGCGGCATCCCCATTACCAATTTATGGAAATGGGTTGTTGCCAATAGCATTTTTCGCACTCTTGTTGATTTCTCGTTCTTGTCATTTTAGTCGCCTTAAATCAACAAATTGTGTCCACCAAAATGATGTTTCACAAAATGTTACCGACGAAAAACTTTTCAAAATGCAAATCGATGTGGAAATCGACAAAGGATGTGAATAACCCGTTGTTGATTTTGGACAGAAAAATAAATGACGGGAAATTAAAGGTATGGAGATTGGAAATAATCGTGTCCAGTCATGTAAATTATAGAAAAGTAAAGAGAAACTATAAATTTATAGAAGAATGTTGAGTTCTGTGATTGATTAGGGATTAGGCTTCACAAAAAGTGTGCTTGAAGTATTTATAATCCACAATCAACGATTACCCAATCGGCTACAACCATGATTATCGACTTCGTTACTCGGCAGTTATGTCGTCTCTACTTCCTTGAAGGTTACCTCTTTTTGTCGATTGCATCCAAAAGTGTTGATTGAACACTTGGGACAATTTTTGGTGTCAACAGGCTCGAACCGAAAATTCCGAGTCTTTTTTGGGGCCGAGCCTACTTCCGATTCGAATGACAGATTGAGAAAAATAGGTATTGTGACTGGTTCGGGTTCGGGATCGAATAGAGAATTATCATATGTCCTGTCTCTCTATTTGTCTCCCTTTTTATACTTACTAAAGAATATGACTATAAGGGTCGAGTGTGGATGGAGGTTTTTAGTCCCGTGGGTAAGATGTGAAACGCAAGCCCGAGAGATTGGGATAGCAACATGTGAGGGATTCGATTCTAAATGGGATAATGACACAAATAGTCCCTGAACTTTGACCCAAAATGTAGTCCCTGAACTTTATCTTAAGGTTCAAAATAATCCATGAACTTTTAATTTGTTCAATGTGGTCCTTGAATTTTTGGTACATGTTCAATTCAGTCCCTAAACTATATGAAAATGTTCAATGTAGTCCCTGAACTTGAATTAATGGAAAGACTACATTGAACATTTTCATATAGTTTAGGGACTAAATTGAATATGTACCAAAAGTTCAGGGATGACATTGAACAAATTAAAAGTTTAGGGACCACATTGTACATTGGGTTAAAGTTCATGGACTAAATTGAATAAATTAAAAGTTTAAGAATCCGATTGCACGTTGGGTCAAAGTTCAGAGACTCTTTATGTCATTTTCCCATTTAAATGTAGTGCGAATACAACACTGTAGCTTCAGGCCAATGGGTGACCCAACCTCAACGTCCTTTCAGACAAAAGCAAAGGCCCAACCGAAATCAAAGTCATTTTCTATCTTTTCCGGCCACTATCGCTTCCCATTTTCCTTTTTTTTTAATCTTTTTTTCCTCGACCGGCGAGTTTTCTTTTTATTGCTCGACATATCTGTGGCAAATTGTGATGGATTTAATTGAGGATTTGGTTGGTCATCTTGCTCCTGAGCGGTGATGTTGGCATTGTTCGGTTATTTATATCGACA